TGAATCTACTTACAATACCGACACTAAATGCCAACTTTGATCGCATGTTTTGTACAAGTAATACAAGGATCTAATCAGTCTCTTATACTGAGTAAGATCAACATCTTGCTCATCCTTATTCTTTGACAAGTGTAGACTCGGTTCAGCCGGAATAATGGTAACATTACAATGCTCCATTTCAAACTTCTTCAATATCTCAAGTGCATACCTTCTTTTGTGCATGAGCAGTTCCCTTTTGAACTTGTGGAACTCAACACCAAGGAAGCATGTCATGAGGCTAAGCCCGGTCATCTCAAATTCCTTCATAAATTCACTCTTGAACTTATAAATGCTTTGTTGCTTCCTGTTATAAAAAATTCATCCACATATAGACAAAGGATAATCACTCATTCACTTGTATTCGTATTCACATACATGTCATGCTTAGATACACATTTCTTGAAGCCAAGCATCTTTAGGAAACCATATATTTTTGTGTTTGAAGCTCTTGGAGCTTGCTTCAAACTATATAACGCTTTCTTCAACTTGTAGAACTTTAGCTCTTGGTTTCTCACAACAAAACTTTGGGGTTGTTCTACATACACCTCTTCTTCAAGTGGTTTGTTCAAAAACAAAGATTTGACGTCCATTTGATAAATGGGTCAATTATTTTTATTCGCAATACTAACAACTAACTTTATTGTTTCAATCTTAGTAACTGGTGCAAATACCTCTTCAAGGTATATGCCTTAGCTTTTCAAGAATCCCTTTGCAACTAATCAAGCTTCATGCTTGATTATTTCAGCCTTGGGATTTGCCTTCACTTTGAACACCCATCTCACACCAATTGGCTTCTTCTCGTCCAGTAGATCAACCAACTCCCAAGTATTTTTCTTCTCAATACATTTCATCTCCTCCTTCATAGCATAAATCCATTTTGGATCACTTAAAGCCTCTTTCATTTTAACGGGTTTTGATTCGTTCATAAGTGAAAAATGGACAAAATCACCATCACCATTGACTTCGCTGTCTCATAATAGCTAATAATGTTGAAGTCTTTGAGAAAAACCTCTTTTCCTTGTTGATATTCTCACATTCTCTTCAATTCGAGCTTCGGCAACAGAAGTTTTTGCCCTTCCTGTATCTGTGGAATCTGGATTTTCAAAGTTGTAACCAGTTACAACTTTTACATAACCGATTATAGGCTTCTACAATTGCTTTATCTCGTCGAAAATAACATATCGGTTGATCACGGCCTCCTGTTTGTTTCATGAAACAACTTGTAACCAAAATTAGAGTGATATCCAACAAGTATCATCATTTCTCCCTTAACATCCAGCTTCTTTCTAAGTTGTCTTGGAACATGCCGATACACTAAATAACCAAAAACTCGCAATTTCAGATTCGGTTTGAATCTCGGTCGTGCTTCCTCGAATGTTACCTTCTCAAGCTTCTTTGTTGGACACCTATTCAACAAATAAGCAATTGTGGATACCGTTTCTCCCCACAACTCTTCCGGAAAGTTCTTCACTTTTAACATGTTTCTTACCATGTTCATGATCGATCAATTTTTCTTTTTGGCAACATCGTTTTTCTGCAGTGTATAAGGTGGTGCAACCTCGCGTACTATCCATTCTTGATCACAAAATCTCCCAAAGTGTTTTGATACATATTCGCCTCTTCCATCTGTTTTAAGGAATTTGAGCTTGTGACCGCTTTGCCTCTCAACCATAGACTTGAACTTCATAAATACTTCAGACACCTCATTATTTCTCTTGATTAGATATGTCTATAAATTTCTACTATGATCGTCAACGAATGTGACAAAATATCTATTGCCACGAATGAAATATACTTGCATAGGTTCATACACACCCGAATACACTACTTGAAGATGATTATTAATTCTACAACCCACATCCTTGCTGAATTTACTCTTATGTTGCTTCTCTTGCACACATTCTTCATAAATTTCAGCCGGTATGTTGATCAATGGCAACCTCATTATCATTTTGTTCTTTTGCAAGTCTTCGAGATCTCGGAAATTGAGATGCCTAAGAATATAATTCCATATTCACACTTCTCGACTTGTCGTTGTAGCAAGACATCTATGCTCCATAACCTTCAGCTTAACCTTGGAGGTTCTAATGGCATCCACAGGAGCTTTCAGGACCAAAACCCCCGTTTGTATCAATAACGTAGAACCCCTTGTTTTCCATGTTAATTTTGTAACCCTTCTCATGCAATGGGCCAATACTTATAAGGTTACATTTGATTCATGGAATGTATAATATATGTTTGATCAAGGAATTTCCACCATCTCTTCTCATGATCAAAACATCATTGATTCCATCGGCTGCTAGAGTGGTGTCATCTGCGAACTTCACTTTGTTTTTCATGGCACGATTGATTTTAACAAACCAATCATTCCTTTCTGTCATATGCGAAGAACAACCGAAATCCAAATACCATTCTTTGTTGCACTGGGCTCTTTCTCTCATAGTCACCATAACATTTTCTTCTGCATGTAAGCAGTTATAACTTTCATGTAACTGGTTACAACCTATTTTTACAGCATTCCCAGAATTGTTGTTGTTGTTCTGTAACTTGTTGTTTCTATATTCATCTTTTTATGATCATAACCAAGAGTGTATTCTCATCATCAAACTCTAATCTTGCAATCTTGACTTCATCTCCATGAGGTTTCTTCTTGTTTGCATTGTATTGTCTTACAAAATGGCCGAACATTTGACACTTAAGGCATTGCTTCTTGCTTTTGTCAAACCTCTTCCTTTCACCTCTAAATTTTCCTTGGCCACCATTTTTGTTGCAGTTTCTCCCATCCCTTTGACAAGTCAAATTCTTGGAACTTTTGGACTCTCTTCCACCAAAATTATAAATTTTTTCTTTACTTTTCATGTGTCATTTTTCTTTTGATCTCTTTTCCTTCTCGTTGAAGCGAGTTTGCAAAGCAATATGCACCTTTATCTTATCATTATTTCTCCCCTCCATCCTTTACTCATAAGCCTCAAGAGAGATTTGCAGCACCTCTTTGCTCATCATCACAAGATCATTTGTTTCCTCAATCGCTACAACCATGTTGTTAAATCTTGGAGTTAAAGAACGCGAGATTTTTGCGACAACATAATGCTCTGTGACTGTTTCTCCACACGCCTTCACTTGATTCACCAACCGAGTGATTCTCGTTGTGAATTCGTTTATTGTCTCTTTTTCCTCCATTTGAATCGACTCAAGTTGACGTTTGTGAGTTGTAACCTCACCACCTTCGCCTTGTCATCCCTGGGTATATGTTTTCTCTAAGATTTCTCACACTTGCTTCGATGATTCACAATCACCAACTTTCTCAAATTTTTCATCATCCACACATTGATGGATCTTGAAATCTTTATTCTTCTCTTTTTTATATGTTGCTCGATGTGCATTTGTTGCACCTTCGACAAGAGGATTCACCCCGTTCTTGATCACTTTAAAAACATCTTGGTAGTCAAACAATATTTTCATTTGTTTGCACCATTTGTCGTAATTCTTCGTATCAAGAATGGGTAAGTTTGCAAGAGTTTTTCACTGGAGACAGAATGCTCGTTGCACACTAAGTGTTTGTGGATCAGAAACAGACTCTTGATGTCAAACGTTAGAACTTGAACCACAAGATTGGTGAATAATTGTGAAAATTAGAGTGTGAAGAGAGAGATAGAGATTGAGAGACAGAAATTAATTAAGGGTAAGAATATTTTCCTTAACATTGATGAAGATGCCTTCAAGGCATTTATACAACATTATAATATGATTGGGACACAAGTTATATAAGACAAATAACAGAAAAAACAGAAAACTCGAACTAGTAACCGATTACAAATATGTAACTAGTTCTAATTGTTAAATATATAAACTAACAAACCGATTACAAATATGTAACTAGTTCTAATTGTTAAATATATAAACTAACAAACAGTGGTAACCGGTTACTGCAAATATGTAATCGGTTACAACAACTCCATAAGCATTTTTTTCTTCAATTATTTGACTTATTTTGACATTTGTAATCGGTTACACCTTCGTATTAACCAATTATAACATTTAAATTACTCAAAAACTCTCAACAATTTCACATAAAGAAAGAATCCATCAATACAATTGACACTTTCTAAAATATACAATTGTTTGGTATGGGTCGTAAACTACATGTAAATAGAAAGAGTCCATCATATATTTCTAGTGTAAGTTACTACATGTAAATAGTAAGGTTCACACCAAATCTTTGAGTCATCAAAATCTACCTCACGTGGAATGTTTTGTTTCTTTTATTGATTCAAGCATCCAAAATTTTAAACCATAACCACAAACTTTCACTTCAAAGAACTATTGATTTTCGTTTTCATTTCGTGAATTGGAGGAGCTTGATTCCACTTCTATATTGGGTTATTGAATAAGTCAAAATTTATTAGGGGAAGTTTGTCTACATGGAAGACACCAATGAGTTAATGGTTGGACCACAGTTGATATAGTTTTAAAATGTTAATACCAAAAGCGTCATGTTAAAACTAAAGGATCTACTTTTGTACGAAAGTAACAAAAACTGAAATTAAGAGTAACTTGTTTTAGTATGTCACCTATCAAAGTTAACAGAAAAACTCAATGCAATGATAACAACATAGAATTAAGAGGTCTCAAACTGTAATGAATGTATATGAAGATTGAATGACCCAAAACAAAAGATGCAGAGCACTTGAATATACATATGTCCAAAGAGAATCAGATCAAGTGATCCACGAGCATAAGCACTGGATATGCTTTCCTGTTAAACAAAAATCAAGAAAAGCAGTGTGCCTAAGTACTACAACGTTGTTACAAGCTTTAGCCCAAATGAAAAACAGTTACATTTTTTCTAGGAACTGACTACAAGCTGACCAATAAATTATCAGAATAAATAATATAATAGAACAAACACATGCTTTAACAATAATATACAGGAGAAAAGAAGAACTAACTAAGAAACTGAATCATTTCTTTGAACGTTTTTTCGGTCGCTTATCTTTCCCACCACTTGCACTACTTTCCCTTCCGCGCTTAACTACATTTGTTTCTGACTTCTTTGGAGGTCTCCCAACACTTCTCCTCGACTGAGAGCTGTGCTCAATATTCTTATTCCTCTTATCTCCTGACCCTGACCCTCCTCCATCGTCATACCTTGGAGATTTTTCTTTCCCTTTCTCCCCTTTTCCACTGTTCACTATTTTCTTCTGATCTTTTATATTAGAACCACCTCCACCACCCTTACTGCTACCACTACTTGCTCCTCCACCGCTACCACCACTTCTCATCACCTCCGCCGATGCATTTCGCTTTATTCTCTTCAAGAAATCAGCGGCAGCATTTTTCTTCTTGTCTGACATTCCTTCTGCTTTGTTCTTATCCAATTTCGGGGTCTCAACTGGTTTGTTTGCTGAGGACCCTGTTTTGTGAGTGGAGTTAGAGAGTAGTTTCTTATCGCCAGTGTTACTATTGTGACTTTTGCTGCTTCTTCTACTTCTGGCTCCAGTGACAGGCTTTTCCTTGGCCTTGGGAGGCTCGTCTTCGTCTGTATCAGAATAACTTTGTTTCAAGGTTGGTTTGGCATCTGAAGATGATCTTTCCTTCTTGTCATTGTTGATGGACTGATCACCCTTTTGGTTAAAGGTGGCTGTGGACGGTTTAACTGGGATGGTACTGCGTTTGCGGCAAACTATTATAGGAGCAGAGGATTTGTGCTTGGGAAAAACAGAATCTGGTTTGGATAATGGTGGGTTTGGAGGAAGTGAATCATTCTTCTGGGTAATAGGGTCAGACTGTGTTCGACTGCAGCTTCTCATCTCAGCAATGACAAGGCGGATCAGCTGCTGTGCCGCGCGTGATTCAGCGGAGTCATGATGGAAGAAAACAGTGGCATTGGTGAAGAGGAGGAGGAGGTCACGGAAGAATGTGTTAGTGCATGAGGAATAGAGACCCTTTTGGAGTTTTGATTGTATGGTTTCCAAGTCCAGGTGCTGTCTCACAATGTCTTTGTATCTATCCAAATCCTGCCACCAAAAAAACACAAGAAAATTTGTTTGCTAAATGTTCATAATTTCAGGGGAATGTCCAATTTACCATTACCCAAAAGGCACATGTAAGACGTTGCTTTTTGTAGTTTAAACGAGAAACGACGTGCAAAGGGACAAACAAGAAAAGTGCTAAAAAAGATAGGGCCCATTTTTAATTCCACAATCGGTCTCATATTTTTTATATTAAATTTGACCATTGACAGCATTAACAGCATACTAGTATAACGTTTCCATCTAACACACTTTTTATTAGACTAAGGAAATGATACATTCTCGTGTTTTTTGAAAATGAACGTTAAGGCATAATTTATCAAATTACCTAACAATTTCACTAACTATTATTAATACAAATATTTTAATAAATAAAATTTATTAATATTAAAATATTATTAATTTTTTTAAGAATTATGTCAAACTCAAATAAAATAAAATGAGACGGAATGGGCAACAAATAAATACTTCGTCAAGGAAATAGGCGTTCAAATTTATTTTCAGAAAGGACACAGTTGGATGATTAAGACTTATCAACAAACACATCACCACCGCCAGGCATAATAAAGGGGAGTATTGATTTTTTTGTCAGGTTTAAGAAGTCGCAAAAATTTTCGTTTTAATGTCAAAAAAATTAATTTTGGATCAATTGAATTTTATAGAAGACCGAAATTAAACAAGCTCTTGGGCTTCGGAATTTGGGCCGGAAAGATCTTTCTTTGCATGTGATACGCCCAATCCTGAACTCACAAGATGCACGTGCTCAACTAAACTATAATTATAATCATTTTGCTGCTAAAATAAATTTTAAAAAAAATAAACGTTTTCCTGTGTAGGAAAATCTAGATAAAATTTTGAGAATCAACTATCTATTTAACAATAAAATTTAATTAGTATTTAACATCGGAAAAGTCCAATTATATCTTATTATTACATTAATTTTTAAAATATTCTGATAAATATCAAGTAATTTGATTTATCACAATATACATCAATTAAACTCTTATTAATAATGTATAAATAAATTATATATTCCAAATAATATTTTAAAATTATTATAATTAAAAATATTTATGAACTTATTGACATAATACTAACAAAGAATAGAGAGCCTAAAACAATAACGTTTCCGCCCATATGATATTATGAAATGTTTTAGAATATATGAACGTGATTATTTTAAAGTTTTTATTGTCCTCGCAACTTTTGTACCAGTAAGAAATTTAATATTGTATCCAATTAATTTTTGTTAAGTTGGTATTTTACCAATTTTTAAAACTTTTAAAAGCAATAATAATAATAATAATAATAATAATAATAATAATAATAATAATAATAATAATAATAATAATAATAAATGGATTATTTTGAAGTGCATGGTAAAAATGTATATATTTCAAATTTTTAAAAAATACCAAATAAGTCCATGCAAAAAGAAAAAAAAATTGAGTACCTGATTTTTTTCGAGACGGCGTTCAAATAATGAAAATTTTTCATGTCTTTTAATCATCTCTAAGACATATACCAACGGTTCAGATTTCACCATCGCTACTACGTCCTCGTTCTCTGGCAAAACTTCTTCGCCTGAAACTTCCTTCTTCCGCCGCGACTTCCTCGTTTTCGTCAAACTCGAAGAACTCTGCACTTCGCTGCTTTCTCTCGTCCCTCCTTCCTCCGAGTGAGTCACCGAGTCATGCAACTCGGACGAGTCACCCTCCACCTTCCTCTCTTCACTTGGAGGAACCGACTCATACGTAAGAACTTTAGCCTCGTTATCAAAGCTTCCGTTATTCGATTCCTCTTCAACCGATTTTTTCTTTCTCCCGGTCTGATCCGGTTCTTTCAAACCGGAATGAACTGGAACCGGACCGGGTTCTATTTTTACATCAACCTCACCGGTTTTCGCTGCATCGAACCTCGAACCGGTTGAGTTCGACTCATTAACCGATTGATTGTCTCGGTCCGATTCATCCCCTGTTGTTGGTAGAACCTTGTCAGTATTAGTTGTGCTTTCCTCAAGCCGGCGAATATCCGGTTCGGAAATCACTGGTTTAGCCTTTTCCATTTCTCCACCGTTTTTTTCTTTTTCCGGCCGCTCTTCCTCGCCTGTAACCGCCAGATCTGGTTTTTTATCTTCTTCTCCGTCATTTTCTTTCGCTTTCTCTTCCTCCAACTTCTTCACCTGTAACTGCAGCGACCTTGAAAAAGATAAAAAGAACTAAAATTAGATCTAAAATAAATAAATAAACTAAAATAAAGTATTATAAATTTCTAGAGAGAGAAATTATTTATGTACATAGATATATATCTAGAGAGAGGGACAGAGAGATTTACAAAATGGAGACGTCGCTGCGTTGGACATCACGCCGAAGCTCAGCAACGCGTTGTTTCCGCAATTTGTCAAGCCAAGGGACATGATCGGAATCGACAGCGGCGGCGTCCCCATTCTGTTGCGGCGGAGGAACGTCATCTCTGAATCGACGGCTTAGATCGTGAAATTTTTGTTCGCAGTGGTGTGCGGTGGCGAGGAGCGTGGGGCGGTTGGTTCTTGACTGAACCTCCATGGCGACGGTGTCCCAGTCTTTGAAGCCATGGCGGTTGACGGCGCACGCTAGTAAAAGCTCTTCCCACGTGCCCCAAGCATGGTGTTGTTGATGGTGTTCTTGGTTTAGGTTTTTGTTTTGGTTTTGGTGGTTTTCCATATCATATGAGAAAAAATGAAATAAAAAGAGATTGGTTTTTATTTAACCATAAACTGCTTCTCCTATGAGGACCTTCTTGCCTCCTTTTCTCACACCTCTTCAAAACTAATCTTTTAATTTTATTTTATTTTCAAAAAGGAAATTAATAAAAAATAATAACGGACCAATAATATTTTTTTAATTTAAAAGGATGGTATTATATAGTAAAATCTAACCTGTAATAATTATTATTTGGTCGTACTGGTGTTTATCTTGTTGTTAGTGTTAAGAAAATCTTGAGTTGATGAGGTGAGAGGGTTTTGAACTTTTGATGTTGTGTTTGTTTGCGTTGGGTGAGAAAGGATTGGTGTATAATTTTGGAGTGTGGAGTTGGTGTGTGGTTTATGTATATGTGGTGAAATAATGTAATGTGTCAACCTAGTAAAAAAAAATGTAATGTGCCAACACTTTGCACTAATGTCTTCGATGTTGTTGAGTTTCACAGGCCTGGTCCCCAAGGCACTTTACTTTAATTGAATTAGTCACGTAATTGTAATTGTAATTGAGTTGGAGGGTTTAGTTTTTCTGGTGAGATACTGACCGCAAATTTTAATTTTCCCTGTTTCTCACTTTGAGTTTTACTTAAATATATTTGGCTTAGGATTCTTTAGGGGATTAATTTAATTTCCACGATTTCTCCCTTTGAGTTTTACGAAAATATTTGGCTTGGGATTATTTAAAGAGCAACTATTAGAAAATCTAAAAATGTGATTAGAATACTATAAAAGTTATTTTTCGGATGCCTTTTATATATTTCGTCTTTTTTTTAAAAAATAGTATGAAAATTAATCTTTGTATTTGATCTGACCTGACCAGAAGGGAATCAGTGACCTTTCACGCGTCGTTGATATGTCGCTTGTTTACCAGAGATTTGAAGGAGGAGGGGGTGTATCTGCAAGACACTCTGATGTCAAAATGAGATAGGATCAGAGTGGAGCAAATACAGAAAGAAGGTGTAGAGAATTGAATATTTGACCCTTTAGTAAAAGAGAGTATTTATAGAGAGACTCCAGCGCAGGGTCAATGGTTATTTGAGTTGGGCTGGATGGTCAGACCCAACCCAATTGACTGTTAGGGCTTACGTGGCATAGTGAACACCAGCGTGTGGTCTTCGCCCTAGTCCAACTGTCTCATGATCTTCGGAAGGTGGGTTGACCAACTCTTTCGGAGGTGGGTAGTTGTATGACGACGTGTCCCCGCGGAGGGGAGCACGTGGAGAACGTGTGGAGGGCACGTTGTTCTGCCCGACGGAGGAAGTGTTCTGCCCAACGGGTGAAGTGTTTTTCCCGACGGGGGAAGTGTCTGGTCGACGGGAGCCATGTGCTCGACATCGGTGATTTGGGCTTGTTTGAGCCTTCCCCCAAGTATCATTGGCCTGGGCCTGCCCGGTCAAGTCGGGGCCCAGACGAGAATAGGAGCCCCCTAAGTCGCAGTTCCAAAGTGAGAGAGTGAGGACTTGATGACGTTGTGCTAAGGCAGAAGGGTGCGCGGGGAGAGATCTTGTCGGTTCGTGTCTCGCGAAGACGTGTGAGCGTGGGCGTCTTTGTATTGTCGGGCACTTATGTCGAGGAAGCATCCTCGTCCGACAGTGTTGGCGGGGAGGACGAAGGGTCGCGACTGTTTCCCTACGCCACATGTCAAATGTTTAGTGGGCCATGTGGGACAGCTACTCTAGGGTACTCGAGTGCCTAGGGACGCTTCGAGTCTCGTGTTGAGGGTATAAGTAAGCAGACCTCTGCCCATTCATCATTTTCGCTTTTGCCCTCTTCCATACGCGACGATTGACTTGTTTGTATCTGTTCGCCAACACCATCGCACCCGCCGCCGCGTACTCCGTTGTTACGTGTAATCCAGTAAGTTCCCTTTCCTTGTCTTTTCCTTGTTTAACATGTTAAAGTTGGCGTCGGGGCGTGTATAACGCCCTGAGGAGGGAGATGGATCCCGTCGTATTAGGCGGTGGTTTTCTAGGGTTTGGATGAATGCGCCAGGGACGAGCGAGGTGGTAGTTTGAACTCCCCCGGGGTCAGGTATTAGTTTTGGATAAATGCCCCGGGGACGGATGATAGGGTTAGATGAATATCCCGGGGATGATCTATGGGGCTAGATGAATACATCGAGGACGCATGATGGGGATTAGATAAACGCCTCAGGGACACGTGATTGGGTCAGACGTGTATCCCGGGGACGACGAGGGATGTAGGATGAATCCCTCGAGGACGGCTTCCCGGGTGGCCTTTACTATCGTCGTGGATGTTGTCTACGTCGCCCTTTCACTTGGCCTGCGGTGGAATGTGATAACGCGAAATCATATATATATATATATATATATATATATATATATATATATATATATATATATATATATATATATATATATATATATATATATATATATATATATATATATATATATATATATATATATATATATATATATATATATATATATATATATATATATATATATATATATAATGACGTACTTTTCTACTAATCGGCGACCGTTTTCACTCCGATTTCGGATATTTCCACACTATTTGTCTAGTATTTTGCAGGTATTCAAAGTTCATGCTCAAATGGAGCAAGATGAAGAAAAGAAGCATTTACAGGTGAAAACCAGGTGAAAATCAGGCCAAAAAGCAGCAAAAACGAGTTCTGCTGATATGACGACCGTCACAAGGGTGTGACGACTGTCACAGGTCCATGACGACCGTCATGGAATTAAAATGCAGTTTTTCTGCACGTGCTGTGAAGTGATGAAAGTGCCAAAGAGGAGTGGACCACTAACTCCTATATTTTCTGATATCATTCCCACTTCCCGAAGAAATAAACCGTTGAAAATCCCATCTATAAAAGGAGGTAGCTGGTATCAGAAAAAGGGGGGCCGCATTGAAGAGACGAAGTGCTGCCAATTTACTTTCAGAGCAATTATTCAGTTTCCCATTTTCTTATCGTTATTTTGTTTCCTTTTCCTTTCTTTCCTTGCAATTATTGTTTTACTTTCCCATTTCTATTTTGTACGAGTAATTGGCATAAAGACTAAATTCTGCCGCCATTTTGGAAGATTTCCCAAAAGCCAATCGAATTGTTTACAGGTTTCTATTCTAATCGTAAATTGAATTGCTATTTCCCATTATAATGCATATTATTATTTTCTGCCATTATTTACGTGTTGTTAATCTATATTCCATGTCTGGCTAAATCTCAAGTAATCGGTATGTAATGAATAATCTGATGGGATTCGATAATTAACCGGTGTATAACTACCTTTTCAAAACTTATTTATGGCTTCAATTTTTAAATCGATTTTTCTAAATAAACATTCGTCGCGACAGCGAGAAATTATTTACAGTAGTTTTGCCACGACAGTGGGAAATTCATAAAGGTACGAACCAACAAGCGACAACTGAGGCTAAGACCAGATAGTAAAAACTAGGCATTCATTTTAAAAACAGCGACAACACTTTAAAAGGAATTAGAAGTTAATAGTTTTCAAAAAGTAACTTTAACCCCGAACGGGATAGCGACAGCATACGTTCCGCCTTAGAGTTGCGACTAGCGTCAACAATGTCGCTACTGCGAAAATCGGCGCCGACTGACAGAAGAGTTGCCACCGTGCGTTATTTATCCCAACGGAGGGAAAGGAAACGCTCGAAGTAAACCTCGCAAAAAACGGGAAAGGTATGGTCATCGCAACCAAAACCTGGGTTCGGGAGTCGGTTACGCAAGGGGAAGGTATTAGCACCCCTCACGTCCGTCGTACTCGATGGGATCCACGCTTGCTTGGGTTGTCTAAAGGATGCAAAAACAATCTATCTACGGCTGCTAAATCTAAACGGAAGGGAATTGACTCGATAGAGCGTCGCGCTCTATGCCTACGTATTCTCAAGAGAGAAAGTCAGAGTCAACGTAGTTCGGGACTACTGTAACACCCCCTTTCTATACCCCCAAATAAAACAAATAATCATTTAGGCATAAATTCAAAATTTCATCAGAGTATATTTATGTTATGGCATAAAAGGGGCATATCACATTATACCAAAAATTCAACACATACAACACCTTCTCAACAGATATGCAACATCGGGGCAACACCCACAAAAAAATATTTAGAACAAAGGCGGAAACATCTAAATATTTAATAACTTCCAAAATATGTAATCACATACATGTACATCATTCAAGTTGATTTACAACATCATCGATATTTAACCAGCATGTTTACATAAACATTCGTCAGCAGATACAAACATAGATGTATCACAAAAGAATCAAAATAATCCCTAGCTACCCGGTGCTACATATTAGAGCCGACCGACCAAAAAGGGATGAAGTCACACTTCACAAAAATACCTCCAGCCAACTAATCTGCAATGCCTTATAGGGCATTATAAAACAGCAGAAGGGTGAGAAACAATATCATAATACATAATGCACATAAACATATATATATATATATATATATATATATATATATATATATATATATATATATATATATATATATATATATATATATATATATATATATATATATATATATATATATATATATATATATATATATATATATATATATATATATATATATATATATATATATATATATATATATATATATATATATATATATATATATATATATATATATATATATATATATATATATATATATATATATATATATATATATATATATATATATATATATATATATATATATATATATATATATATATATATATATATATATATATATATATATATATATATATATATACATACATATAACATCCAATAACATCGTTCGCGTTCTCACCACAACTCATCTCACTACACCATACATCGCAATGTATTCAAAATATCTATTCACAAATAGAACACTGAGCATACACAATATACATCATCAATGTTTATATTAATTCATAAACATACACACATATACAGATATACTCACACAT